CATTAAAACTAGCCCCTGGGCAAGGAGCCCCCAGTTTGTTATGATCCTGGATGGTATTCCCCCAAAATGATTTTGTTACCATGTGTGGAAGGCTGAACTGGTCCCTCTTCTTAATTTCATTCCACCACTCTCTCAGTTGGCCACAACAAGGTGAGTTTATTAGCTAATCAAAGCAAGATCGTTGGATGATACAGGTAATACAGTTGGTAGTGAAGCAGTTGATTTTGAGATTCTTGGCTTTGTAAGTTAGCTAACAGACTGTTGGCCTGTTTCTTTTCAATGGTGACTTCACTGGTTTGCCTGGCTTTCAGCCTTCCGAGTTAGTGTGGTTGTTTACTTGCAGCACAGGAGAGTCTAATGATCGTCACAGTCCATTAGCAATCAACCCTCTATAATACACACAGTCAAGGGATTGCTGTTGGCTGTTTAATTTGTTGATTTAACTATTTCTGGAAGGGTAAAACATAACCACGTCTGCAGTCTGAGACATAGTCCACAGCAGATGGCTTTCTACTGGAAACAATAGTCAGCTCTTCCTTATCTTTATAGTCACAAGAGATCACAGTCCAGTCTGTTTTGAATTGAATCCCTCCCTTTGAAGAGTTGTTGTTTGAAGATCCCTTCGTACCTTTTCCGGTCTGATGTTCCACGTTTTCTCTCACAGTTTTGCCAGACAGTCACTGAATTTACACCTGCAGTCATCTTTTGGCTGTATTCCTCCTTGAAAACACGTGTTTTAAATAAAGGTTCAATGTAAGTAAACCAGGTTATGATCCATTGTCATTACAAATGGATTAGTAATCCAGAGGCCCAAGATAATATACTGGAGACATGGATGCAAATCCCACTATAGCATCACAAAATTTATGTTTGATTAATTAGTAAAAATCTGGAAGTGAAGTTAGACTTAGTAACCATGGTTAGAAAACCATTAGATATTGTCACAAGAACCTATCTGGTTCAGTCATGCCCTTTCGGGAAGGAAATCTGTCTTCTTCAAGCAGTCTAGCCCACATGTAACTACAGACCCATAGCAACATGGTTAGTTGTTATCTGTCCACTGGTATGACCTAGCAAGCCACTCAGTTCAAGAGCAATTAGTGATGAGCAAGAATATAGCTGGTTTTGCCATTGATGGTTATAGCACGCAAAAACAATTTTAAGAAGTTCTCTGTTGCTCTCCCTGTCTTAAAAGCTTGGTCCTGCTTACTTATCAAGTGTGCCAAACCCTGTGATAACCCAAGGACTTGTCTTGAATGTCCCACTAAGATGTGTACCCAAGCCCGTACAAGGTTGCATCAGTCCTGTGACAATGTTCCCTCAGAGTCATAAATCTCCTCTGGGGAGTGTTCATCCTCCTCCTGCATCAGCTCATGAGGGAATCTTCAGGACCTGGGAGGCTGCACATAGAACTGACAAGATGACAGGGTTCTTTGTCTTAATTTGGTATATCTTTATTTTTCAATTCCTATTGACATCATGTCAACTCAAGTAAGTGTTGTATATCATGTGGTTGTGTCTGTCACGTAGGAAGGTGAGAGAAACTGCCCTTAACATCAAGGCTGCATTTGAATGATTGTGGCATCAAGGGGCACTAACAAAACTACAATCAATGGGAATCAGGAGAAAAGCTCTCCCACGATTGGAATAACTAGCACAAGGGAAGATACCTGTAGTTGTGATGAGAGGCCAGTCACCGCAAACTCAGAACATCTCCACAGGAGTTATTCAGTGTCGAAGGCCCAACAATCTTCAGGTGCTTCATCAACAAATTTTTCCTCCATCATAAGGTCAGAAGTGGGAATGTTCAGTGATGATTGCATAGTGTTCAGAACCATTTGCGACCCCTCAGATAATGAAGTAGTCGTTTTCCAAATGAACTGAACAATATCCAGTTTTGAGCTGACAAGTGAAAAGTAACTTGGGGGGAGAATGGCTTAGTGGTATTATCACTAGACTATTAATCCAGAGGCCCATACATGGATCTTGGGACATGGGTTCAAATCCCACCATGGCAGATGGTGGAACTCAAATTCCATGAAACCATCATCCTTATCCAGGCTGGCCTACATGTGACTCCAGACCCACAGTAATGTAGTTGACTCTTAACTGCCCTCTGGGCAATTAGTGATGAGCAATAAATGCTGATGAAGCTAGTGCCACCCACAACCTGTCAATGAATTAAAAATATCTGTGCCACAGCAGTGCCAGGCTTCTGCCATCTCCAAAAAGAGAGAATCTAACCATCACCCCTTGACATTCAAAAGCATCACGACCACTGAAATTGCTATTTTCAACATCTTGGAGTTTATCAGAAACTGAAATGGACTAACAATATAAATACTGTGGCTACCAGAGGAGCTCAGAGGAATCTTGTAATGACAAATGACCTCCTGAGTGCTCAAAGCCTGTCTGTTATCTTCATGGCACACCAAGAATGTGATGGAATACTCCCACTCATCTGGACAAGTGCAGCTCCAACAATACTCAAAAGAACTCTGATGTCATCTAGGACAATGTAGCCTGCTTGACTAGTGCCACATTCAAATATTTAGTCCCTCTAACATTGACACACAATAGCAGCAGTGTGTACTGCCTACGCGATGCACTGCAGAAATTCATCAAGGCTCTTCAGACAGTGTTTTCCAAGCTCACAACCACTACCAACTAGAAGGACAAGAGCAGCAGATTTATAAGAGTACCACTACCTGCAAGTTCTGCTCTCAGCAACACACCATTCTGATTTGGAAATATATTGCTGTTCCTTCAGTGTTGACAGGTCAACATCCTACAACTCCCTCTCAAACAGCATTGTCAATGTGCCAACAACAAATAGAATGAAGCAGTTCAAGAAAGCAACGCATAACCATTTTCTCAAGGGCAACTAGGGATATACAATAAATGTTGACCCAGCCAGGGCTGCCCATGTCCCAGGAAAGGAAAAAGGTAGCAAGGCCTCCACTTCTCCATCATCAACAACCATATGTACCAGTGCTTTTCACAAGGGCTTGCCAATCTGAAGCAGTCAGGCTGATTAATGGAGAGGCTCTCCCTTGTTCTTCTACACTCCCTTCTTTTGCAAGAAGTGAAATGAGTATATGAAAAGACACATGTTGAGAAGACAAAAGATATGTTTGATATGCCAATAAGATGAAGCTGTCAGATGGGAACATGAGAATGTAGGACGGAAACAGAGATGGATGTACCTGCAAAGGTGTAATAGCTTAAGGGTTATTGTGCAAAAACCTTGGGAAGTCAGAATGAGGGATGATTGGTTGTGGTGGTGGTTTGGAAACACCGTAAAAATAATTAAATCTCTTACAGATTGTATCCAGGGGCCAGGCTCCACACTCTTGCTGATCACCCCTCTGCCCCTTCCAGCCACATAGTCTCCAAGGAAAACTTTTACCTCCCATCTTCTGGAAACTAAATATCTCTGTTGATCCTTTAAACTGTATCATGATATTCAGTGATGCATCCAAGATCCACAGAACAGCATTACATCGAAACACCATCACTCATTGTCACTGACAATTGCTGAGGAGGTCCATTCTGACCCTTGTTCTAATGGGAAGTGATGCTGTGGCTCTTTTAAAATGCAACTGAAAACCCTGTTCTTCAAACAGCACGTCCAGGCGACCTATCTCCTGCCATGGATAGGACTCACTGATCTGGAGGCATGGGGCTGAATAGGCTCCTAGATTTCAAACCACTATGGTACAGTTCTCTTCAACATTGCCCCTCTCCTGACATGCTGGATTACAAATTCAGATATTTTCATTAAATTGCTTTTAGTTATATTAATGATGCTATCGGGCGCATACTAAAATTATTATTGTTTAGGTTACACTGAGTTGATTAGACTATTTAAATTAAAACAGTCGAATCTTGTGAAATTTACTCTAACTCCTCTGCATCTCCAACTCCCTTGACTTCACTGATCACCCTTTTCTAATCTCTTTGCTTTGGAACTAAACAGCACAATGAATATATTCATTTTCTACCGTGTATTCTACAAATGTCAAAACATTTCTTGAAGCAGTTGCCAAAATGCACACTGCTTTCCAATAAAATTTACTTTGGATCTCAATACAGTGATCTTCGTCGTCACCCGAGACACTGGGCAAATGATGTACTAAGTGCAACATATACGTTTCCGTTAAAAATACAGATGCCAGGACCAAAGATGGTACACGTGAGACCACTTGTCAAACACAGCCCACTCTCTCTACTACCCTATCATCTTAATACATATGCAAAATATAACTAATATGTACTTTAGGCAATGAATGCAAAAGGAACACGGATCATAATTACCAAATAGAGAAAAAAAAACTGGCGAATGGAAACAAAGTAATTTTCTAGAAGGAAAAAGGAAACACCAGGAGGTGAAAAGTGAAAGCAAATGAGTTGGTGAATTAACATGCGGAATTTAATACTGGATTAGCCCAGTTCTGCAGGGACAAGATCTTGAAACACCTCGTGATTGTAGCTTGCATTCTTAAAATGTGTACTATTGGAAACAGAGATTTAAGGATTTGTCAGCCCCACCACAGCAAGTCACGGCGTGGTAATTTGATAGTTCTTTTCTAAAATGTTCATTGGTAACGAAAATAAAGAAAAGCACGACTTTTTTTTGCGAGGGGAGGCAATGTGTGCCGTGCAAAAGGCAGCAAACAGGGAACAGCGGATGAGATTAAAGCGATGGATAACGAGTTAGCGTGAGAAAATATACCAGAGTGGCAGAAAAGCGTCGCCTCTCGGGATAAGGGGAGGTTGCGGGTGCGAAACGGGGCATCAAAGAGGTAGGGGGTGAAGTTTTAGGGCGGGGCGTGGGGTAGGGGTGCTCCAGAAGAAAGGGGCGCCTGCGCACTGTAGCTGCACCGGGCAGGCGGGCGGGGGCTCGCGCTCCTTTCAAATCGAAGAGAAAAAAAAACAAGGTTCTAAAAATAGCTGAAACTGTTGGATCGAACAGAGCTGCGATTGGCGGGAATCTGTCACGTGTTCAACCACCAAGTCTCTCCACCCCCCCCCACCCCGAGCAAAGCTGCTGTCGCTTCGCAAGCTTGTTGTTCAGTGAGTGTCAGTGAGGCGAGCAAACATGGCGGAACCCCTCAGCGAGCCGCATTGATTCTCTCCAGCACGTCGCTAGATATCCCCATTTTCCGTCGGTAAAATCTGATCTACTCGACCCACAAACGCCCTTCCCACCAAACAAGCTCTCATCTACCGCTCACTGGCTGCAGCGCTCGGGTAAGACACGGCGATTTTAATGGCTCTCTCTCCTCTCCGACTCCAATTGTCCTTCCACCTCCCTTCCCTGACTTTAAACGGATAGTACGAAGTGGTTCTGCTCACAGATTTTCACAACGGCTTGATTTCTGAAAGTGAACAGTCTTTCATCGGTGGTTGGGTTTCAGTATTTATTTTTACCCCTCATTCCCCTCCTCCTAACCTCTCGCTTACCGATTGAAGTATTTACTGTTAACAGCAACTAAACTTCATGAACGGAAATGCCTGACTGATGGATGGCTACCATTACCAATCGGAAACCCCGATGCTCGTTTGTTTGGGACGTTGCTAACGGGCAATACCCAATCAACGTCTCGCGAGGGTGGGGCTTCCGGCAGGTCAAGGTAGGTTGAGACGGAGTGGCTTAACGCCAAACCGTGGATCTTCGACATATACACACCTCTTACTGTGTACCGTGTGGGCTTAAACTTGGCTGCTTGATGCAGTGTGGATCGGCCTCATCAAATCGCATTAAATAAATTTGCATCACCCGGGCGTCCAAAAGGCGAGGCCGAACCTCGCTGAGCCTTGAACGGATGCAAATGGACCCAATTAAACTTGAATGGGTTGAGAGCTGGAAGCGAGCAACCCCACTCAAATTGGGTGAATCAGCTATTTCGATGTCCAAGTTGAGCAAGCACAAATAAACAAAGCGTGGAATGGAATGTTGTGTATGTGAATTAGTGATTTTTTTTTCTAGAAATTAATTTTGGTGAGCTGGGCGAATCCAACCAGTTGACAGAGTGTTATGTGGGGATCTGACTCAAGGGAGATTAAGCCAAACTGAAAAGCATAGTTTGTTTTAGGAGGGGACGATTCTTTCTACCTAGATATGAACTCGTAAATAGAAGTCGATTGACAACAAAAATGGGGGGGGTTGGAATCAGGTGTATTTTAGTTTCTCGCTTAGTTTCCTCCTTTCCTGATTTGAAGTCTGGTTGTAAAGGTCTTGGTTCACTGTGGCATCTTTGTTCAAATACTCATTGTTCCTGTGACCGTGGATACTAATTAAGAGCATGCTACCACAACTGCACTGATCTTTCTTTCCCTCTTCAGTATCCTTATAAGTACGCCTCCAACAGTTTTTGAATAGCAGTCAAACTTGAGACATTTAGTTCATTACTTTTTTTTTAAGGTTGGCTTGAATTGTAGGATCTTTCATACTCTAGCATTCTCCAAATTATTGGAGATTAGGGAATCTAATTGAAGGTTTCTTGGTGTTTGCAGAGTGTCACACTTCACTGATTGGAGGAACTGGTGACTTGAGATGCACAGTGGACGGTTGAAAATGAGAACGGATTAAGCATTTTCTTTTTGTAGTGAGCGGATAATTGAGTGTATCTGTTTGATTATTTAGGTATGCCATTTAGGTAACTAAATGGACCTTCCAAAGAGCCCTAAAGAACTTGTTAAAGATTAAGCGTCAGTAAAACAGGTCTAAAAGAATAATTCATGTTCGTTTGAGTCTCACTGAATTTACTTATATAGGGAGGAAAGTTGATGTGACTGTATACGAGTTTCTCAATAACATTCTTTGATCTAATGTAAAGTACATCTGCAAAAGCGACCGATTGGTTAAGAGTTTAACTCTGTACTGTACATTCCTTGATCTTCGTTCATGAACGTTTTGTCAATTTGAGCGGGAAGAGACGAAACCTAAAAAAAATAGGCCTTTTTCCCTTTGCTAAAAGACGTTCGGTATCTAAAGTCCAAGATTAACATCGAAAGACTTGCGTTAACTTTGTTGAAGATGTGAAAATTATTAATTTTAAATGCAGAGTTATCTGCTTATTGCCATAGTTAGCTTTCATTCCGTTTCGGATTGTTTTCGTTCAAGCTCCAAGTGAGTCGTGGGACGCGCTGTGAAGGTTTTAAATTGTTATTTTTGAAAACTTTTATTATCGCTGTAGGCATCAGTACACGTAATGGAACTAGTAAGGTCAGTTAAACAATAAGTTATTAATTTCGTTATTCCAAATGAATGTACATTTGAATCAAATTACTGTAATTCTTAATCTGAAGACCTTCTTACTCGAATGTGACAGCCAATAGCCCTGTAAAAGTACAGTTGGGGAAAGCAGCACTCAACAGTTTTCTGAAAAATGACACGCCATAAATGAAAATATCTTCTAATGAACCCTGAATGTAAAAAAATCTTGTCTTATTGTAGCTCAGTTTTGTTTGTACTATGTTTTGGTACCTTCAGTGCTGCTGTTTTATTAATATATTTTTGAACAGAACAAATTGTCAAAATATGTACAATTTACACATTGATTAGATATAAGGAGTATTATGTTGGTATGATTCTATATTTTCCCATGAAAAATCTGATTTATTTCTCCACCTGGAGAGATTTAAGTGTTGGTGGATCTATCACATTGTTTAATCTCCACAAGAATAATGTGAGAGGGCTCTTGCCCAGGTGTATTATATTTTCTCTTTTACACAAACAACAAATGGAAACCTGCATATCTTAATGTCCTTGTTTAGATGTGGCACAAAAAGTTTGGTTGCAAACAGTCATCATCTGTCTGGCAGGTGAAATGTACTTGTTCCCCAGTTATTCAAACGCAAATTGATTGTTTGAACATGATGTAAATTTATAAAACTGGTCACTGGTGACTTATGAAAATACAGCATTCAGTCTTGAGTTTGATAAGGGACATCAGTGGTCATTGTTATGAAAATTTAATATGTTCACTTGTTAACACTTTAAAGCATTGCAGAATTTGAATATGTTGTACGCTAGTTACCACTGACATTAAATGCTCCACCTTCAGATAAGGAGACTAGTCAACACATCTCAAGTTCGTCTTCCATGCAGTTAGAATATAGCTAATTTGTAACTTGACTATCTACCCACTTTGGTTCCGTAACTCTCAATATTCTTGCCTTATTAGAATTTTTTCTAGTATATAATCTATTAAAAATGTTTTTAAAAGTTTGAATTGACTTTGCTTCAACACCAATGTTTCCTCTAAGTTGTGCTGCCTCCTACTTACACTCACGTTTTCAAAGATCATACAAATTTTGTCCCCCTTAAGATGCTTAGTATGCGTAACAGTGCAAAAGAAAGTCTAGAGGCTGCACACTTCCAAACAAAAGGGATATTATTCAACAGCTCTTTTTTTTTTCCTGAAGAGTTCCAGGTTTCTACTATTGTTTTATGTGGACGTCATCCCTGTATGTCCTAGAACTTATTTTGCAGTCATGACCTCTTGTTCTGGGCTCACCCACCGGGTGTAATAATAGTTATACTCTATCTACCTTCTCTAACTACCGTATCAACTTCAAAATTACCTCCAATTCATCACCCTTTAATCTGTTGTATTTTGTAGAACACAAGCCTTGCACGTGCAGCCTGTCCTCATAATTTAATCATTCAGCCTGGTGTTGTGGTGATTGTACACTGCATCATCTTGCTAAGACTGTACATCCTTTTTCAGTAGATGAGATGCCCAAAATTTCACGCAGTACTCCAGGTGGCTTTTAACAGCTTGTCAGTTACCGTATTTAGTTGATGCATGGTGATCACGTATTAATAGTGATTGAATGATTATAAGTGACCCTAGCCTCTTTGGCAATGGTCAGTTTATTAGAATATATCCTATTTGTTATGAAAATAATTGTTTGAGCCTGGAGTCTACCTGTGATTTACAGTGGCATAACATTTAACAGCTGTTTAATATTTAGTGCAAGTAGTGATTGGGGGAGGATTGGAAGATAAACTAAAGTGGTTAATGGCTCTAATTCAATTAATGGCTCTACCTTGAATGTTTTAGCCCTGACAGCCTTTGCACAGCAGCAATCCACATCATCTGGTCTCAAGCCAGCCTTTCTGTCTCATTCACAGTTATCACCATCTGCTAGCAGTCTTCCTTTTATGATCGTCTACTTCATTGCATTTCCTTAGGGGTCTGAGACCTAACACTTGGCTTAAGGGTCAGGCTTCTTATCATTTGCTCCTTCTTTAGGAGTCCTGCTAAGGAAACATTTCTGAGATGTGCAGTTAAAAACTTGAGATACTTTTCAAAAACTTAAGTGATTTTCAAATAGCAATTTGTTATAGTTACATTTGTTATAGAGCTGCACACATTGAATCTAAATTTAAATGTGGGCAGATTCATTAAAAACAGATGTTTATTTGACATTAGTTGAAGTTGTAATAGTGCACTTCTCTCAGTTTTTCAATTTTCTTGAATCTTTCAAGAATACTTAGAATAATCATTGGGATAAAGCAATTTAATAACTGCTGATGCAACATTGAAAAAATCTTTTGCTGTTCATGAAATTCATTACTTTGCTGTGGCATTACTGTACATGTTGAGAGGGATTTTTGTTTTGTTTTCTTTCTCTTACCTCCCCAGTTGCTATTAAGTGCTTTCTATTATGTCTCCTTTTGCAGCGATGCCTTCAGCTAGCTCTGACCTCTAAACTGACACATCCTTCCTGAAGTCCTCTGTGCCTTTCTCCTTTATGATGTGGAGATGCCGGTGTTGCTCTGGGGTAGACACGGTCAAAAGTCATACGAACCCAGGTTATAGTCTAACAAGTTTATTTGAAATCACAAGCTTTTGGAGCGCTGTCCCTTTGTCAGGTGAAGTGAGCGAGCACCCAGGCACAGACTATATAATCAGAAATCAAAAGATCATACAAGTGGTGTGGATGGAGTGTCGACAGGCCGAATGATAGGTCTCTGCAGGTGATCAAGAATGTCAGACGGTGTGAGTGAAGTGTTAACAACTGAATAACAAGTGAAGTGATGACTTATCTGATTAATTGATGCAGAGAGAGAATTACAAATAATTAAAAATGGTGCTGGAGACAAACCAAATGACTGGAATAACATGCTAGTTATGAGTCGCTTGGTGAGGGTCTAATCAAGGCAACAAGCAGTCCAAAACTGTAGAAGCTAATGTAGAGAGATCATAACAAGTTGTCAAGGTGATGGTTTCAAAACA